CATAAGCTACCGGTCTATTTACTGTGTTGGCAGAATAAAAAAAATACAATATTTAATAATTTATGCTTTATTTGGAAGGACTGTGACAGTTTCTGAAAGAGAAAACAATGGACCTGTCAGCAGAACATTGTGGACCTGTCAGCAGAACATCGTGGACCTGTCAGCAGAACATTGTGGACCTGTCAGCAGAACATTGTGGACCTGTCAGCAGAACATTGTGGACCTGTCAGCAGAACATTGTGGACCTGTCAGCAGAACATTGTGGACCTGTCAGTAAAACATTGTGGACCTGTCAGCAGAACATTGTGGACCTGTCAGCAGAACATTTGAATTCAACACATTTTTGCATTGACTTTCTCCCCAACCTAAATATGATGGACTGCCCGCAAATTGTAAAACATTGTCTAGGCTACTCAAATTTTTTTAATTACAGTAGGCTACATACAATAGTAGCATTCATACTTCAAAGGAAAATATCAACTGTCTTGACGTTCACCTGTTAAATATGTCTGTAGGCTATAAAACTGCGCTGCCTATCACATACAGCAAAACGTGGACGTCTATTTTAATATATCCTTTAAAAAAACACCATCACAAAGAAATCCATTAATAATTTGTTTTAGGCAGGTCCTAAGAAACATTATAAGACTAATAAAATGTAATTTCAAAAGAACAGAATGGCCTATTTAGAGTTTAATTATATTACTGATCTGTGCAGCCTGTAGGCTACATGGCTGTGCCATGCACATGAAATCAATAGTTATTTTGTTCATTAAACAGACAAGACACACTTAGGCTACCCTGATCACAGTCAACACGCATAGATTCTACAGTAAGCTAAGAATATAAAAAGCGATCTTTTGAAACAGAGCCCAAGGCAAGCCCATGCTTTTTTAAATCCATGTTTCATCTCTTTCCTACCCTCACTCTGCTTTGTTAGGGAGCAGGCATAGGGTCTAACATTAAGAGCACCTTCATCATGACACCGATAGAAAATAATAGCAATCTATATTTTCAAAAGCATGCCAGTCTCTTGTTCATACTTCACAACATCACAGGCTTTTGGAGTTGCCTATATGCGATCGAGCAAAATAATAGGCCTACACTTGATTTAGGCTACATTATTGCATGCTAAATGTTCCTGATCAGTGATAGATGAACACTTGATTTAGGCTACATTATTGCATGCTAAATGTTCCTGATCAGTGATAGATGAACACTTGATTTAGGCTACATTATTGCATGCTAAATGTTCCTGATCAGTGATAGATGAACACTTGATTTAGGCTACATTATTGCATGCTAAATGTTCCTGATCAGTGATAGATGAACACTTGATTTAGGCTACATTATTGCATGCTAAATGTTCCTGATCAGTGATAAATGAACACTTGATTTAGGCTACATTATTGCATGCTAAATGTTCCTGATCAGTGATAGATGAGCAAACAAATAGATGAGCTATACCACCTCCACTTATTTGCCCAGCCAGAGAATTAAGCAAATGTACCCTACAGACTGAAATTCAGTGAAACAAAATCACATTGATGGATTAAGACAAGTCACAGGCTTTTGGTCGAGTAGGCCTGGGTTACTAAGAGACTGTGAGTGAAGAGCAAAATAATCCATGTTAAACTACACAACATGCTAACAAAATGTGCTAATAAATTAGCCATCTAGACAAGATGATCATGAGCAGCTTCACCTCCACTTAGCTAACATTTCTATAGCCTAATCAATATCCAAACGGAGATTCAGTGAAAATAAAAATCTGACATTGATTGATTTATCAAGAGTCCCCACGCTTGTCTCAAAGCAGTAATAGTTAACCACACGCGGGTAGGCTAGGCTAATGCTTCAAATGTATTCTAACAATTAGATGACTTTAGGCGTTTCAGTAAGCAACAATTTGATGCCTTCCAATGCAATAGCCAAATGTATTCCAATATTTTCTTCATTCAGTGATATTTATTCCCACAATAATTCTTTATGGATCCATCCAGCTGTGGTTAAGAAAACAGTGCATGTGGTGGGCTAAGCGAAGAGGGTGAAGTTCAGAACTGCCACTAGATAACACTGCCACAAAGTCAAAACAGCTTTCCCATTTTGACAACAGATGCTGCTCCAGCGGAAGAAATCAATAGGCGAATATCACAGTCAATCACAACACTGGCGGGTAAGTAATACTGTGAAACACTATCATTCCACTATTACTGCAGATATATTATGGACATTTTCTGAAATTACAATGCATAAATTCCAAAATAATCCTATCTGTAGCACCTTTAAGAGCGTAGTGTGTGCCAATGCTGCCTTAGCATTACGGCTACATTTCATAATAAGCCTTAGGCAGAACTTCACCGCAATCGTGACTAGGTCAGTTTGTGGAAATAAAAGTTTAGGCTTTGATACCAGCAACGCCTTTGAGATATAAAGTAAAGGTGGAAAAAAGTTGGCGGGATGCTAAAGTTGGCGGGAAAACGTATTGGTTTGAAAGGTGTATTACTGTATACCATTTAAGTCAATATTGTATTCACATCTGTGTGAAGCCTTATTTCATTACATTTACATTGCATACTGTAGTATTCAGACTCTTTACTCAGTACTTTGTTGAAGCACCTTTGGCAGTGATTATAGCCTCGAGTCTTCTTGGGTATGACGCTACAAGCTTGGCACACCTATATTTGGGGAGTTTCTCCCATTCTTCTCTGCAGATTTTTCTCAAGCTCTATCAGGTTGGATGGGGAGCGTCGTTGCACAGCTATTTTCAGGTCTCTCCAGAGACCGGACTCTGGCTGGGCCACTCGAGTCCGGCCTCTGGCTGGGCCACTCACATTCAGAGACTTGTCCCAAAGCCACTCCTGTGTTGTCTTGGCTGTGTGCTTACGGTCTTGTCCTGTTGGAAAGTGAACTTTCGCCCCAGTCTGAGGTCCTGAGCGCTCTGGAGCAGGTTTTCATCAAGGATCTCGCTGTACTTTGCTCCGTTCATCTTTCCCTTGATCCTGACTAGTCTCCCAGTCCCTGCCGCTGAAAAACATCCCCACAGCATGATGCTGCCACCACCATGCTTCACCATAGGTATGGTGCAAGGTTTCTTCCAGACGTGACGCTTGGCATTCAGGCCAAAGAGTTCAATCTTGTTTCTCATGGTCTGAGTACTTTAGGTGCCTTTTGGCAAACTCCAAGCGGGCTGTCATGTGCCTTTTACTGAGGACTGGCTTCCGTCTGGCCACTCTACCATACAGGCCTGATTGGTGGAGTGCTGCAGAGATGGTTGTCCTTCTGGAAGGTTCTCCTATCTCCACAGAGGAACTCTGGAGCTCTGTCAGAGTGACCATCGGGTTCTTGGTCACCTCCCTGACCAAGGCCCTTCTCCCCCTATTGCTCAGTTTGGCAGGGAGGCCAGCTCTAGGAAGAGTCTTGGTGGTTCCAAACTTCTTCCATTTAAGAATGATGGAGGCCACTGTGTTCTTGGGGACCTTCAATGCTGCAGACATTTTTTGGTACCCTTCCCCAGATCCGTGCCTCAACACAATCTGGTCTCAGAGCTCTACGGACAATTCCTTCGACCTCATGGCTTGGTTTATGCTCTGACATGCACTGTCAACTGTGGGACATTATATAGACAGGTGTGTGCCTTTTCCAAATCATGTCCAATCAATTGAATTTACCACAGGTGGAATCAAATCAAGCTGTAGAAACAGCTCAATGATAATCAATGGAAACAGGATGCACCTGAGCTCAATTTCGAGTCTCATAGCAAAGGGTCTGAGTACTTATGTAAATATGGTATTTCTGTTTTAAATTGTTAATACACTTCCAAAAAGTCAAAAAATCTGTTTTCGCTTTGTCATTATGGGGTATTGTGTGTAGATTGATGAGGATTTTATTTATTTAATCCATTTTAGAATAAGGCTGTAACGTAACAAAATGTGGAAAAAGTCAAGAGGTCTAATTCTTTCCGAATGCACTGTACACTGCTGGGCAGAAGAAGGATGAAACCATACCACTTGCTGGCCACACTTTGTCTAGCCTGTGTGTGTGTGTGTGTCTTGGTGTCAACCATGACTAGGGTAATCCCAATCCCTATCCACAATGTTTCCAAGTCCAACATTCTAGAAGCTACAAAGTAGCCATCAGCACAGATCACAAAATGTATTTTATCTCTCTCCAACACATTCAAGCTCTCTCTCACACACACTATAATGATGGTTGAATTTGTTAGGGCAAGGAGATTAAACCTCATTTTCTGTTGATCACAAAAGAGCCTGGCACGTCAACCTTCTCCATGGTCCCCTTCTAGCCTCCATTTTCAAGAAAAACTAAGGCCGTGGGAATGGACAATATCATGTTCATCCTCTGCCAAGCATTTTATTTGACTACTGTTAAATCAGTCTCTACAGAACACGGAACAGTAAAATCTGCCAGCTCAGACACAGACAATACCCTCAGTAAATCAGAGTACGGGGAGAACTAGGATTTCCACTAGATATCACAGCCACAAAGTGAAAATTCGTAAAGCCTTGGAAACCATCAACACCTCCTATGTGGCATAAACAGAAAAGCACCCGTTTGGAACAACTCGGTCCCTCCTGAAAATATCTGACTTCCAACCGCACAACTGCCCCCCACCCCTTCTCCTCAGTGCTGCCAATAACCTGAGTCCTCCATTTCCAAAATGGACGCTCTTGATATATCAAATAAACTACAATCTATCCCATTTGATCAGATCGGATAACATATTTGTAGCCTTTTCAAAACACTGGTGGGAAAGCTATTTACTGTATTTGAGCAATGCGTAAAGGTGCCCTGAAAGTCCTAGGCTATCAAGTGACATTGACAGGAAAGGCAGGGCGCAGAGAATCAGTCCGGGAATATAAAATCCCAGTGTCTACGCAACTGTATCAATAACAGGAAAGATAAATACACCACTTCTACGCCCCATATTTATATGGAAGAGCAGTAAAATAAGTTACTTTGGCCCATTTTGCACAATGGTCTTACCCGAAATCATCGTCCATAGATTTGAAGAAAAATGTATAGTTGGGTTTATTGAGGACATTTTTGAAGTCGGCAAGAGTAACCCTTTCCGCAGCGATGGGCAACTTGACCAGGTACGGAGTTTCCTGGTCGTCCAAATGATAGATAATTTTGGTCTCCCCCATGGCGAACCGCTGGGGAGGGTAAGTCCGGTTACATCCAGCCCCGGGTCCGCTCTCTGGCTCCCTGGCGCTGGGTATTCCACAGTGTCTCCTCTTGCCTGTATCCTGGCTGTTGTCAACTCTTCGCTCCGCTGCGCTTGAGGCGGACCCTGCACGACGCCAACTGCGGACTGATGTGTCCAAATAAAATACGTTTTAAGACAAATCTACAGTTAGAATTTGGTATTATTTTTGTTCGTTGCAGTCTCTCATCCCAAAAGAAGGGAATTGGGTTAATTTGCGCCTGTTATGAGCCTCGGATTGCCTCTATATCGGTGGACACCGTTTTCCCTGCTCGTTGTAACAGCTGTCCGCCGATGTGGGAGAATAGCCCTCCTATCGACATTCCAATGAAACTCCCTCTAGAGGACTAGGAATGAAATGAACAAGAAATTTGAGAAATACAATTTGATTTGAACTCTTGAAGATTTAGGAAAATACGGATAGATTTGTATCATGTAGGCTATAAGGAAAAACGTATTAGCCTACAAGTAATGGCATTTGTCGGTCTGTTGTTAGATCATGTGCAATGTGTTTGGTGTCAAGGTTAGGTTGGCATCCCTCTCATCAGATAGACCAGGGCCCTTTCCGATAGCGATGGCACTTGTTCCAACAGCTGAAGATGTAACATGCGTTTCCCAAAACACCATGCAAAGAGAACGTTTGTTAAGTGCGTCTTTGGAGCATGTGTCGATGCAGAAAAGGATTGAAAGAAAGCCAGCGCTGCTCTCGGATAAGTTTTCTATATTAAATTATTTCTACATTAAAATATTATTATTTCACAATACTCACAACGGATCAGTTACTAGAGAGCAGTAGCGATGCGTGGGTAAAATCACTGGGGAAGCCAAGCCCCCCAAAAAGCCATATTACAACAACCTATGTGTTGTCATAATTGCGTTGTTTGCTCTATAACCCGTTAGTTCATATGCCTTGTGACCATGATATATACACTACATGACCAAAAGTATGTGCACACCTACTCGTCGAACATCTCATTCCAAAATCATGGGCATTAATATGGAGTTGGTCCCCCCTTTGCTGCTATAACAGCCTCCACTCTTCTGGGAAGGCTTTCCACTACATGTTGGAACATTGCTGTGGGGACTTGCTTCCATTCAGATACAAGAGTATTAGTGATGTCAGGCACTGATGTTGGGCGATTACACCTGGCTAGCAGTCGGTGTTCCAATTAATCCCAAAGGTGTTTGATGGGGTTGAGGTCAGGGCTCTGTGCAGGCCAGTCAAGTTCTTCCACACCGATCTCAACAAACCATGTCTGTATGGACCTCGCTTTATACACGGAGGCATTGTCATGCTGAAACAGGAAAGGGCCTTCCCCAAACTGTTGCCACAAAGTTGGAAGCACAGAATCGTCTAGAATGTCATTGTATTCTGTAGCGTTACGATTTCCATTCACTGGAACTAAGGGTCCTAGCCCGAATTATGAAAAACAGCCCCAGACCATTATTCCTCCTCCAACAAACTTAACAGTTGGCACTTTGCATTGGGGCAGGTAGCGTTCTCCTGGCATCCGCCAAACCCAGAATCGTCCGTCGGACTGCCAGATGGTGAAGCGTGATTCATCACTCCAGAGAACGCGTTTCCACTGCTCCAGAGTCCAATGGCTGCAAGCTTTACACCACTCCAGCCGACTCTTGGCATTGCGCAAGGTGATCTTAGGCTTGTGTGCAGCTGCTCGGCCATGGAAACCCATTTCATGAAGCTCCCAACTAACAGTTCTTGTGCTGACGTTGCTTCCAGAGGCAGTTTGGAACTCGGTAGTGAGTGTTGCAACCGATGCCAGACGACCACGCGCTACGTACTTCAGCACTCGGCGATCCCGTTCTGTGAGCTTGTGTGGCCTACCACTTCACGGCTGAGCCGTTGTTGCTCCTAGACGTTTCCACTTTACAATAACAGCACTTACAGTTGACCGGGGAAGCTCTAGTAGGGCAGAAATTTGACGAACTGACTTGTTTTAAGGGTGTCATCCTATGATGGTACCATGTTGAAAGTCATTGAACTCTTCAGTAAGGCCATTCTACTGCCAATGTTTGTCTATGGAGATTGCATGGCTGTGTGCTCGATTTTATAAACCTGTCAGCAACGGGTGTGGCTGACATAGCCAAATCCACTAATCTGAAGGGGTGTCTTCCCCTCTCCCGAGACCGTTGGGGAGTTGCAGCGATGAGACAAGCTCATAATCACGAAATTGGGGAGAAAAATACTTCAGTACGACATGTTTTTATGACTTCTTATTCTGGTCGCAAACTGGTTGAAAATGATGTTTTTTAATGTATTTTTACTGACCAGAATATGACTTCTTTTTCTGACCGCCATACGACCAGCTGGTCATAATTCTGACCACTGTATTATGTAGCCTACTGGTCATAGTTAAGACCTCATCATAACCTGGTAATGACCACAGCTTATTACCTACACTTAGAAAAAAGGGTTCCAAAAGGGTTCTTTAGCTGTCCCCATAAAATAACCCTTTTTGGTTCCACGTAGAACCCTTTTGGTTTCCATGTAGAACCCTCTGTGGAAAGGGTCCTACATAGAACCCAAAAGGGTTCTACCTGAAACACAAAGGGTTCTTCAAAGGGTTCTCCTATGGGGACAGCCAAATAACCCTTTCATGTTCTAGAAAGCACCTTCTTTTTTTCTTTTCTTTTTTTTTCACCTTTATTTAACCAGGTAAGCCAGTTGAGAACAAGTTCTCATTTACAACTGCGACCTGGCCAAGATAAAGCAAAGCAGTGCGATAAGAACAACAACAACACAGAGTTACATATGAAATAAACAAAAACGTACAGTCAATAACACAATAGAAAATCTATATACAGTGTGTGCAAATGTAGTAAGTTATGGAGGTAAGGCAATAAATAGGCCATAGTGCAAAATAATTACAATTACGTATTAACACTGGAGTGATAGATGTGCAGAAGATGATGTGCAAATAGAGATACTGGGGTGCAAATGAGCAAAATAAATAACAATGTAAATAACAATATGGTGATGAGTTAGTTGGGTGGGCTAATTACAGATGGGCTGTGTATAGGTGCAGTGATAAGCTGCTCTGACAACTGATACTTAAAGATAGTGAGGGAAATAAGTGTCTCCAGCTTCAGAGATTTTTGCAGTTCGTTCCAGTCATTTGCAGCAGAGAACTGGAAGGAATGGTGACCAAAGGAGTTGTTGGCTTTGTGGATGACCAGTGAGATATACAGTGGGGAGAACAAGTATTTGATACACTGCCGATTTTACAGGTTTTCCTACTTACAAAGCATGTAGAGGTCTGTCATTTTTATCATAGGTACACTTCAACTGTGAGAGACGGAATCTAAAACAAAAACCCAGAAAATCACATTGTATGATTTTTAAGTAATTAATTTGCATTTTATTGCATGACATAAGTATTTGATACATCAGAAAAGCAGAACTTAATATTTGGTACAGAAACCTTTGTTTGCAATTACAAAGATCATACGTTTCCTGTAGGTCTTGACCAGGTTTGCACACACTGCAGCAGGGATTTTGGCCCACTCCTCCAGATCCTTCAGGTTTCGGGGCTGTCGCTGGGCAATACGGACTTTCAGCTCCCTCCAAAGATTTTCTATTGGGTTCAGGTCTGGAGACTGGCTAGGCCACTCCAGGACCTTGAGATGCTTCTTACGGAGCCACTCCTTAGTTGCCCTGGCTGTGTGTTTCGGGTCGTTGACATGCTGGAAGACCAGCCACGACCCATCTTCAATGCTCTTACTGAGAGAAGGGGGTTGTTGGCCAAGATCTCGCGATACATGGCCCCATCCATCCTCCCCTCAATACGGTGCAGTCGTCCTGTCCCCTTTGCAGAAAAGCATCCCCAAAGAATGATGTTTCCACCTCCATGCTTCACGGTTGGGATGGTGTTCTTGGGGTTGTACTCATCCTTCTTCTTCCTCCAAACACGGCGAGTGGAGTTTAGACCAAAAAGCTCTATTTTTGTCTCATCAGACCACATTACCTTCTCCCATTCCTCCTCTTGGTCATCCAGATGGTCATTGGCAAACTTCAGACGGGCCTGGACATGCGCTGGCTTGAGCAGGGGGACCTTGCGTGCGCTGCAGGATTTTAATCCTTGACGGCGTAGTGTGTTACTAATGGTTTTCTTTGAGACTGTGGTCCCAGCTCTCTTCGGGTCATTGACCAGGTCCTGCCGTGTAGTTCTGGGCTGATCCCTCACCTTCCTCATGATCATTGATGCCCCACGAGGTGAGATCTTGCATGGAGCCCCAGACCGAGGGTGATTGACCGTCATCTTGAACTTCTTCCATTTTATAATAATTGCGCCAACAGTTGTTGCCTTCTCACCAAGCTGCTTGCCTATTGTCCTGTAGCCCATCCCAGCTTTGTACAGGTCTACAATTTTATCCCTGATGTCCTTACACAGCTCTCTGGTCTTGGCCATTGTGGAGAGGTTGGAGTCTGTTTGATTGAGTGTGTGGACAGGTGTCTTTTATACAGGTAACAAGTTCAAACAGGTGCAGTTAATACAGGTAATGAGTGGAGAACAGGAGGGCTTCTTCAAGAGCCGGAATTCTTACTGGTTGGTAGGTGATCAAATACTTATGTCATGCAATAAAATGCAAATTAATTACTTAAAAATCATACAATGTGATTTTCTGGATTTTTGTTTTAGATTCCGTCTCTCACAGTTGAAGTGTACCTATGATAAAAATTACAGACCTCTACATGCTTTGTAAGTAGGAAAACCTGCAAAATCGGCAGTGTATCAAATAGTTGTTCTCCCCACTGTACCTGCTGGAACGCATACTACGGGTGGGTGTTGCTATGGTGACCAATGAGCTAAGATAAGGCGTGGATTTGCCTAGAAGGGATTTATAGATGACCTGGAGCCAGTGGGTTTGGCGACTAATTGGTAGTGAGGGCCAGCCAACAAGAGCATACAGGTCACAATGGTGGGTAGTGTATGGGCTTTGGTGACAAAACGGATGGCACTGTGATAGACTACATTCAATTTGCTGAGTAGAGTGTTGGAAGCTATTTTGTAAATGACATCGCCAAAGTCAAGGATCGGTAGGATAGTTAGTTTTACGAGGGCATGTTTAGCAGCATGAGTGAAGGAGACTTTGTTGCGAAATAGGAAGCCGATTCTAGATTTAACTTTGGATTGGAGATGCTTAATGTGAGTCTGGAAGGAGAGTTTACGGTCTAACCAGACACCTAGGTACATATTCTAAGTCAGACCCGCCGAGAGTAGTGATTCTAGCCGGGCGGGCGGGTGCAAGCAGCGTTCGATTGAAGAACATGCATTTAGTTTTACTAGTGTTTAAGAGCAGTTGGAGGCCACGGAAGTAGTGTTGTATGGCATTGAAGCTCGTTTGGAGGTTTGTTAACACAGTGTCCAATGAAGGGCCAGATGTATACAAAATGGTGTCGTCTGCGTAGAGGTGGATCTGAGAGTCACCAGCAGCAAGAGCGACATCATTGATATACACAGAGAATAGAGTCGGCCCGAGAATTGAACCCTGTGGCACCCCCATAGAGACTGCCAGAGGTCCAGACAACAGGCCCTCCGATTTGACACATTGAACTCTATCTGAGAAGTAGTTGGTGAACAGGCAAGGCAGTCATTTGAGAAACCAAGGCTATTTAGTCTGCCAATAAGAATGCGGTGATTGACAGAGTCAAAAGCCTTGGCCAGGTCGATGAAGATGGCTGCACAGTAGTCTTTTATCGATCGCGGTTATTATATCGTTTAGGACCTTGAGCGTGGCTGAGGTGCACCCATGACCAGCTCGGAAACCAGATTGCATAGCGGAGAATGTACGGTGGGATTCGAAATGGTCGGTGATCTGTTTGTTAACTTGGCTTTCAAATACTTTCGAAGGGCAGGATGGATATAGGTCTGTAACAGTTTGGATCTAGAGTGTCACCCCCTTTGAAGAGGGAGATGACCGCGGCAGCTTTCCAATCTCTGGGGATCTCAGATGATACGAAAGAGAGGTTGAACAGGCTAGTAATAGGGGTTGCGACAATTTCGGCGGCTAATTTTAGAAAGAAAGGGTCCAGATTTTCGAGCCCAGCTGATTTGTAGAGGTCCAGATTTTGCAGCTTTTTCAGGACATCAGCTATCTGAATTTGGGTGAAGGAGAAGCGGGGGGGGGGGGGGGGGGGGACGGACATGGGCAAGTTGCAGCGGAGGGTGCAGAGCTGGTGGCCGGGGTAGGGGTAGCCAGGTGGAAAGCATGGCCAGCCGTAGCAAAATGAAATTCTCGATTATCGTAGTGGATAGATTTATCGGTGGTGACAGTGTTTCCTAGCCTCAGTGTAGTGGGTAGCTGGGAGGAGGTGCTCTTATTACGGACGCAGGCAATGAGGCAGTGATCGCTGAGATCTTGGTTGAAGAAAGCGGAGGTGTATTTAGAAGGTAAATTAGTCAGGATGATATCTATGAGGGTGCCCATGTTTACGGATTTAGGGTTGTACCTGGTAGGTTCCTTGATCATTTGTGTGAGATTGAGGACATCTAGTTTAGATTGTTGGACGGCCAGGGTGTTAAGCATATCCCAGTTTAGGTCACCAAGCAGTACGGACTCTGAGGATAGATGGGGGGAAAGCAATTCACATATGGTGTCCAGGGCAAAACTGGGGGCTGAGGGGGGTCTGTAGCAAGTGGCAGCAGTGAGAGACTTATTTCTGGAAAGGTGGATTTTTAGAAGTAGAAGCTCAAACTGTTTGGGCACAGACCTGGATAGCCTGCAGAGCTCTATCATACTATCTCTACAGTAGATTGCAACTCCGCCCTCTATGGCAGTTCTATCTAGACGAAAATGTTGTAATTCGGGATGGACATTTCTGAGTTTTTGGTGGCCTTCCTAAGCCAGGATTCAGACACTGCTAGAACATCAGGGTTGGCAGAGTGTGCTAACGCAGTGAATAACACAAACTTGGGGAGGAGGCTTCTGATGTTAACATGCAAGAAACCAAGGCTTTTACGGTTACAGAAGTCAACAAATGATAGCGCCTGGGGAGTAGGAGTGATACTGGGGGCTACAGGGCCTGGGTTAACCTCTACATCACCAGAGGAACAGAGGAGGAATAGAATAAGGATACGGCTAAAGGCTTTAAGAACTGGTCTTCTAGTGCGTTGGGTACAGAGAATAAAAGGGGCAGATTTCCGGGCGTTGTAGAATAGATTCAGGGCATTATGTACAGACAAGGATATGGAAGGATATGAGTACAGTGGAGGTACACCTAAGCATTGGGTAAAGATGAAAGAGATATCATCACTGGAGGCACCGATTGAGCCGGTCTCCGCGTGTGTGGGGGGTGAGACAAAGGAGCTCTCTG